GCCCGCCCCAGGGCCCACCGCCGCAGCCGCCGCCGCCCGCTCCCAGGACACTCTCCAGGCCCGCGACCCCAGGCCCAAGGTGAACTTCATCCGATTGGGAGAAATTCGTCTGACCGGGAAGCTGTGGGGTGCGAGAATCAATTTGACGTGTCCTCCACGTCAATCTCTGCAGTCACGCCGGAGACTCACGAATTGGCAGCTCATTGGTTCCCGTCACCGCGCCCTGGCGTCCCCCTCCCCGCCCAGAAACTCTACCCCTCCCCCCCAGTTCCTGGCTTGCCCCTCCGCCTTTCTCCACCCCCTCCGGAACCCATCCCTCCACCCCCCCACCCCTACACACACACACACACACACACACACACACACACACACACACACACACACCAGGAACACACACCATCCTAAACCTAGCTGAGCCAGATCCTGGGATCATCCAATCTTCGTTGCCTTTTGCCGCCTTTTAACATACTTTAGGAATGGTAGGGAAGTCATTTCAAACTGATCATACATTAGTTTTACAATCACCTCTACCACCGTTCCTAATTACCTTTCGGAGGGTAGAAGTTGATCCTGGCAAGGTGTTTTAGTATGTGACTGTCTCCACCACCTGCTGCCCAGAACAGAAGTAAGAGACAAGTCTGATGGATAAGGCCCTCAGGGAACTGCTAAGATGAAAAGAAAGAGGAGGTCCAGCTTGGTTGGGGCACCTGGGAAAGATGGTTCATGGTGGCTTATGGAGCTGACTCTCCCACAATTCATTTCTGTCTTACTCTGTCTATTCTGTTCTCAAGAAATTCCAATTGCAATGGTGCCTTTGGAGTAATATGAGGTGAGTTCAATGACCCAAGAGGGGCACATTCCAGGTTCTGTCTCTAACGACAAAGCCCACCCACCAGAACTCATTCCTCTCCAAGCACTGACTGACACAAGGAGCAGGCAGGAAAGAATCAGGCTTGCTGCTTCCGGCCCCCAACAATCTGGCAATCTACGGAAGGCCTAATGGCTGCTGAGCTCCTGTATTAAGTCCAGACAGTCCCTTTCAGGCAGGCTATGCAGTCCTGCACCCCTCAGTCCTCATCAGTCTGCCCTTGCCTTTCCCCAGAACTAGCAGCTCTGCTAAACCCACCAGCAGCAGCTCTGCTAAATAAACCACCCAGCGGTCGTTTCCCTGTCTAAGCCGCAGTGTGCCAGCCCCTGAGTCTTTGGTTCTGGCATTCAAAACCAACGCTTCTACTCCGCGCATCAATGCACAGCTCTGGGCTTCCCAGCAGGCCTAGATATCTGCAGCAATCCCAAAGGAAGCAACAGGGTGGTGGTGGGGACCGTGTAGTTTTGCACCTGAACTGGTGCCACTGGGCCAAGACCCCCGAAGTCTCCAGGTGAGACCAGTAGAAACCCAGAGCTTTCATCTGGACACAAAACAGCAGGGAAGGGGGCCCTGGTGGGAACTCAGAAACAGCCACAATTCCTGGCACTTCCAAGGAGTCTAAATACTCCTCGGAAATCCAGAAAACACCCCCTCTTCGCCAACACAGGTCCCTCCCTGCTCGGGGCGCGCTTCCGAGCAGCCTGGAAACTGCTCACCATACAAGTGCAATGACGCTGTTCAAGCTCCCGCAGATTGACCCTGTCAGCATAGCTTGGGAGCCTCTTTGGAAGCCCTGACCCCTTTCCCTCCTCATTTTCTGGATGGGGGCAACTTTGATGTCCCTCGGTCAACCTACCCAAATGTGTGTTATAAATTCTGGGCTCTTCCAGGGAACTGTACAACACTCAGTAGAACGGGGTTGGAGCTGTGGCAAATAAAATAAAAAAAACAGAGAGAGAGAGAGAGAGAGAGAGAGAGAGAGAGAGAGAGAGAGAGAGAGAGAGTCAGCTTCTAAAGAGTTGAAGCCCCTTCTCTGTCTAGCAGCGCGGCCCATAGAACACAGAGCAGCCCCAGGCCCTAAGAGTATCAAAGAGTTTGCTGGGATGTGGAAGAGGTTTAGGGGATCAGTCTACGCTAAAAAAGTACCCCCTTCCCCATGAGAACAGTAAACCTACTTGGAATACCAGGCCTGTCCAGAACAGAACAGTCTTCCAGTAAAGATCTAGGTGGGCATGCTGGGTGCAAGAGCTTTCCACTTGGTTGGTGGGTGGGTGGGTGGGTTGGGGAGACAAGCAGAGGAAGATGAACGCACAGAGCACTTCTTTGAGGCTTGGGGGTGTCAGGATACCTCACCTTCAATTCTTTCTAGATGGTTTGAGATCTGATTGATACCCTCTAATCTAGAGGCTCATTCCCAGCGTTTAAATAGTCCAAAAGCTCATCCTCATCATTCCAGGATTTCTAGACAGGCAAGAGATACCAAGAAACGTGTGATCGTCCTGTGGACTCTCTCAGGTGTGAAAAAGAGGGCTTCCATCTCTGAGCCCACTGCATCCCAGAAATTTATTAAAGTAGCTAAAGCTGCAGGTGGGGAGTCGGTAGGCACCATCAAAGAGAAGCTAAAGCTAGACTTGCCACTATGAAAGCTACTTCGACCCAGCTTCCCATTTGTAAGGTTGCTCGACCGGCTGGCAAAAAGTGTGATCTAGACAGCATCAAACTCCCTAGGGGAAGGCGGCCCTGTGGTGCGGGAGAGGAGAAGGTGGAGGTGAGACTTAAGGGATCGCACTTTTGGGGTTCGGAGGGGGCTCTCCGGCGTAGCAGAACCTGCCAGCCTTCCCTTCACCAGGGTTCCCTCCCCAACAGCCAGCTGGACTACACAGCGGTCAATCCCGCTAGGCTTTGGGGGAAAACCTTACAGTTTGTCGCCCCCTGTCGGGTCGGGTCCCGGCTTGGCTGCGCAAGTTCCCGAGTGGCGGCGGGCTGGATGAGGTGGCTGAAAGATTGGACTGCACAAGGCAAAGTGTCTCCTCAACTTTCCTTGGTCATCTCCACTGCTCCGGGGCAGCTAACAACAGTCCGTGAGGCGCGCACAGAGGTAAGAAAGCTCGTCGACTCCGCATTTGAGCGTGGTAAACTAGTATTGCCTGTGCTAAGCTCAGCGTGCAACGAAGTGAGCAGTGGTTTCCAGGAGCGAGGAAGTCACCCGGCTGGAGAATCCAGCGCAGCGAAAGCTCGTCCACCTGGTGCTGGACTCACGCAGGGACAGAGGACCAAGGTGAGGGTCTTGAAGTAGATTCTAAGACGTGGCCCAGGTATCCCAAGGCGGGGTGAGTACACGAGGCCAGCGACTTGCTAGGCGTTGCAAGTTAAAGAGGAGGCCCAAAAGAAAAGTGTTTGTCTTTCTGGGGACCGGGGGCTGGCGGCTGAAAAAGTCGCTAGGAAATATTCTGCCCATTTGTCACCAGAGCCGGGAATGCAGGGCCCGAATGTTCAGGCTGAGTGAATCAGTCGCCCTACTTCACTTCTCGGCATCGTCTTGATTTTTGATGGGATTGTGTGGGGTAGTTATTTGGGTGCAAACGAAGCGTGTAACAGGCTGATTGTTCCCCGGGACCCATGCATTTCAAGGTCTCCTGGAGAAAAACTAAATAAGCAGATGAATTTCGATTCTGGCCCCGCGGGTACGCGATTTGATTCTGCTGGGAAGAAATCTTGAGCAGAGCACACACGCTGCGTTCGCAGAGAAGCTCCGACTAGCCCGGGTCGAACCTCGCGCTTTGGCTTTCCAGCCTCCCCGTCCGCCCGCCCGAAACTGGCGGAGGTAGGTTTCTCTGCGCCAGTCTCTCTTGGCTCAGACCCTGCGCTTTCGCTGTTTTATGGACACTCGGCGGTGCGTCGCACGGTTCGAAATTAAACTCAAACAAACCGAATCTCTTTTCTTTTAAAATTCACTTTTTAAAAAAGACCATGCAAATTGCAGAATTCTTTGTATAAGGAGGACTCGTAAGTCAGCCTACCTTACTCTACAGGGACCGTTTTACAAAGGACAATTTCCCTACTGCACAATACTTAAAAGTAAGAAAATAGATTTATTATTATTATTATTATTATTATTATTATTATTATTATTAAGTATGAGATGTGACCAGGTGCAAGAAAACGTCTGCAAAAAAAGGAGGGGGGCGTTGCAAACCCTCGGGACCGCCGCCCGAACTGGAAACTAGCTCGCGGGAAGCGAGAGCCTGCAGAGTGCAACGAAACTATGCCCTATGCGGAAAGTGACTGAGGTGGGAGAGGAGAGGATGGGAAGAAGGGGGAACTCACAGATTAACTGACACCAGCGGTCAAGCCAGAAGGAGGCCTGTGCCTCCCCACCCCCCACCTTAGCCGCCAGCGGCCACAGCACCTGCTTTCCCGGCTGGAACGCACATTTCCCAGCTTTCAAAGAGTAAGGAGCTGAAGACAAATGCCAAAAAGCACAAAACCCATCCCCGAGAGCCGCAGGCTCCATCCCCCAGTTCCAGCGACTGATTCCCAAGGCCGGTTTTCTTTCACCTGGCCTGCCAGTGTTTGCCCGGCTCTTTGCGGAGGGAGGGAGGCTCGCTTTACCTCTGCTGGACTGGAAAAGTCGGGGCAGCAGGCCTGAGTCTACAGAAATTGTTTCAACCAACTTTAGCCGCTCACAGTGTCCCTGGAAATGCAGGATGAGAGAAGCGAAGAAAAGAAAAACATTTTTTTTTCAGTTTCTTCAAATGAAAGGAGTAGATAAGAACAGATAACTATTTGGCAGAATAAAAGCAACCTTGGGTCTTCCATTAGATTCGGAGACTAGAGGGAAAATAGCAGAAAATAGATTCGCTGTTCAAGTCCATTAGAAACAAACAGGGGGAAATTGGGCATGACCAGTGAAGATCTAAGATACTTCCTGCTTTGAAACGTGGGGCCCTGACTACTGTATTTGTCACTTAGCTTTCCGAGTTTCAGAGTGGACGCATCCAAGTTTGCATTTGGATGATAAAAAAATAAACTGAAAGTCAGTAGTTTTTTTTGTTGTTGTTTTTGTTTTTGTTTTGTTTTTTGCGAGGGAGGGACAGTTTCTCTGAGCTTTTGAGGGAGCCTGTCTCCTTGTCCTTGGTTTATGTAAATCCTAACCTGACCAAAATCCTGAGGTCTTCCGCATTGTATGCCTCCCCAGCTTCCCTGGCAATGAGCATGTCACACGAGCCTCAATTTCCCTCTGTGTATAGTTACCTACATTGTGCAATTAGATTTATTTCATCTCATTACATCACACACACACACACACACACACACACACACACACACACACACCACTTAACATCACATTGCAGAAGGCTCAAGCCATGGTCAAAATCCACCTTTGCAGAGATTTCTTAAAAATGTTTATGTGTCAGTGCTAAACATCCAAAGGGCAACATTAAAATTGGAAACATTGGGGGAACTTCAGCTGTGCGTGGGGCATATCTCCTGAGTACTTAGAAAAGTGGGGAATCTAAGAATAGCCATGGGGGAGGGGAGTATACAGGACAAAAGTGGCATTTACAAAGGGAACTGAGAGGATGGTGGTGTGCCAGTGTTGGAAAGGACTTCTTAAAAAGCAGGGGTGGATGAGGGTTTCCTACTGCCTAAAGGATGCCCCTGCTGATCAGTCTCACTCAGCTGCAAAGACTGACATGTGAGCCGAATCCACACTAGCCCAACCTAATAGGAAACAGCTTGAAGTGTGCTCCTGTGAACTCACGGGCAATGCTTTAGAGATTTCTGCTTCTGCACAGACTTAGACCAGAGGATGGACATGGGACCTGGAAGTTACTTATTGAAGCCTTTTGTCTAAATTAAGACAGCGCCTGCCAGACCTCATTTGCTTGGATTTCTCTGATTTCTTATTAGCGATCAGTCTTCTCCACTCATCAGCACAGAAAGGATCATTTATGCACTGGAAACGTGGTAGTTAGGTTTGCAGAGTGATTGTGTCATCATTGCCCCACAGGACACTAAACTTTCAGGAGGACACTGCCCAGATTCTCTTCCTACAAACCGAACAGGGGGAAGGGGGGAACACTGCCCCTCTTCAGTGATCTATTTCTTCCATAATTAGCATAATGACTCATAATTAAAAGTCCATTGTTTTATTTCTATAGACACGTAGGACCTAGAAACATTGATATGTGGAAATAAAGCCTTTGCTTTGAGGTCCTGGGTCAGTTTCCTTAGCGTCAGCTCTCTGTATTGCGTAGCCAATACACCACACGCTCCCCTTCACGTTCATTGACTTTTTCATATGCATGCCTCTGTAATCTCTTCCCACATGAAATCATTTTCCTTGACCAGAAATCAAGTGTCCTTTATGGTGAGGTTTCTCTAGGACACAGATGGGATTTTTGACATGACTTTTTACCACTTGTCTGCCCCATTTCTTCGAACTAATCGCTCTTGGTTATCTTTTCCTCTAGAGTCATTGCAACATCCCAGTGATGCTACACACACACACACACACACACACACACACACACACACACACACACACGTAAGGACACATATATTTATGTATATATAAAGTATCTCCGCTGTTCAGTGATGGTTTTAATTTTCCTCTCCCTCCCCCTGGAGTACGGGCTATGGAGTTTTATTGAAGACCCGCAATGCCTCCGGTTTTGATTTAGTGTTTTGGAGTTTGTGATCTCATTGCCCAGTATGGAAAATATTAGACAGGGTCTGCAGATTGTACACAGGAAAAGACCTGAATCACCATTGTGGGGTGAGTGCCCTTCCCCAACCCTATAATAACACACTCGCACAGCTGGCTCTAGCCATAGTGTACTAGGTTTTATGTCATCAAATGGAGACTTCTGCAGCCTGCCCTGCCTTTAGAAAAACTACTGAATCTCCACAGTCGCTGCAATCACCAAGGCACTCTAGACCGCGTTGACACCCAGAGACTGGTTGGATTTGAAATGGTTAGGGCTGCAGTCTGGGAATCAGAATTTTAAAGAAATGTTTAGGTTGTTTTCAGATGTATTTAAATTGGAGACTGTGCTTTTGGAGGAAGGTAGAGGAAGGGGTATGCCATGATGCTTCCTGCTCTATAGCAAGGTTCTGAGAGGTGAAACAAAAGCCTGGCAGCCAGCTGGCCCTCTCTGTGCTCATGTCCTATGAGGACACTTAAATATGAGTTCAAATTCTTGTCTAAAATGGCCTCCCTATGAATTTTACTTCTGTGGTACTCTGACCCTCTTGGAAACAGCAGGGCAGAGACCATGCCTCTTTCCCAGTCACTCTGGCTGCTGAGGTTTCTGTCTTTAATGATCCCAGCCCTGTCTTCGCAGCCTCGGACAGGTGATTCTGGGATCCCAGTTAAGTGTAAACATCTGCAGAGTGCACTGGAGTTAGCTCAGGAGCATCAACCCAGTTTGGCTAGAAAGGATGTGAAAATGAATCATAAGCACCCCCACTCTAGGGGAGTCAGAGTATTGGGTCATCCCAGAAGCTGGGAGCTTACCTTGTCTTCTTAACACTCCTACTTGGCTTAAACAATAGGTATGTGGTGTAGCAAGGCAGTACAGCCCTCAAGCTTCTGAAGTCATCTGAGAAATAATTGAATCTTCTGCAAGTTTGACATAATTTTAGATTTTTGTTTGTAGTCGTCATTGTTACTCCTGTGCTGTGTACCTTAGATGGAAGAGGGAAGCACTCCTGTGCTGTGTACCTTAGATGGAAGAGGGAAGCTTTTCCGTGGTGGCAGTAGCGGGCTGCTTGTATCCTAGAAAACATATGCAGACTTGGGTAATGGTAGAGCTGTCTGTGGGTATCTTGGCCAAAGGAGAGGAGGAAAGAAAAGCCCCCCAAAAATGATTTATAAATCTCTGACGTCTCAGAAATAAAATTAAGTAACTGTCCATTTTTATTAGGTTAGCTGGATAAGGTTAAGACCCAAGCTACTTTTAACTTGTTTGCTTGTTTGTTTGTTTGTTTGTTTGTTTGTTTTAAATTGTCTTAGGAGCTTGTGTGAATTACAAACTACAAGTATCACTCAGGTTTGTTTTTCCCTGTTTCTGCTTTGTATTGTTTTTATCTTTGCTTGCTTTTTTGAGACAAACTATGGAGTCCTCTCTGGTCTTGAACTCGAAATCTTTCTGAGTGCTAGCCACCATTGGCTTTTCTTCAATTTTGTGAACAAATTTCAACAAAATACTTGATTCACTGTCACTGTAAATCCTTTGACTTTGAACGTACAGGGCTGCATGCAATGATTTA